TGTGTGTGTGTGTGTGTGTGTGTGTGTGTGTGTGTGTGTGCGTGCGTGTGTCCACTCTTCTCACATAACTTTCACTGACAGCCCACTGATGTGTCGATGTCGGCTAAGGCAAAAAACATCGCCATCACCAGCGCCCGATATGAATGCCAGAACTGTCAGCAAGTTATCTATGTATGAAAAAAGGGCTCCTATAGTCATCCACATATGCCAGTCCCAATCCAAGTATTTCTAAATGATACACAATACACTGAAAAATATTGATGGTCAACACAACTTTTGATACAATTGGAAAAAAAAACATTAAAAAGCCGAGTGTAGAGCATTGTGAGAACGTATGTATCAGTCGCTGCATTGTGCTGCACAACAAACAAACAATTATAAGTTATCATTATCTGTGGAATAACAGTAATTTCAATAAGAGCACAAAGAGTACATATCACCACAAAGAAACACGAAGGAAGTTATGCAACAAAATTTCACCAAATGCAGTTTCATTAATTTATTATTATTATTATTATTAATAATAATCATCATCATCATCATCATCATCATCATCATCATCATCATCATAATTTATGATTTCTATTCATCCTCTTTATCCTTTTAAAGTATAAAACATGAAGTAGTTGCTAGAAATTTCACATTAGTTTGAAAATTGAATGTTTATTGAATCTTTCTTTAAATTAATTAAATATTAATTTGCATATATGACCATATATGAGTGATTTGCTACATTCCTACAGCATTTTTGTTTTGTTTTTATAACTTAAAAATGTATGATGCAATTTAATTGTGTGTTTCGATGGGGAGGATGGGGGTTATATGTTGACAAGTGCATTTACAGTGGGTAACTTGGTCATTCCACTTCTGATGCTGTACAGACACTAAGCGAACAGCTTCAGTTCCATTCACCACCAAACACAACTAAAGAAAAAGTTCTTCTGTTTTTAAATCTGGTGTTGGGAACCATTCAGGTCAGTCAATACTTTTGAAACTCTTCCCTGAGGCTGACACAGGTGTGTTCAGCTCCTTCCAATCCATCTTACTTGTCATCTTTAAGAATCAGAAAGGGCGTTATTATGCATGTTACGAGCAACCTGGGCTGCTCTATGGGGGGCAGCTGATCGCTTAATGATTACAGTTTGTCCTGCACTGGATGAAGAAGCTACAGACTGCAGGAGAAAGCTTAATGTGAAGAGTGACACACACTCTCCAAAGGTTATTGGAGGATTTTGCCCCCGGGGTAGAAGAGTGTTTGCAGCATTGTGTGTACAGTACTGGACCGCGTGTTGAATTATTTAAAGTTAAATCTCTGAATGGACTAATACACTGAGATTGTTTCTGAATATGTCTTCATTTATAGCTTATCGAGAGGGACTCCCTCGGGGATCGACCAGGGACTGTCACCTTTTCAGCACGCAGGAACATTACACGAGACATAAGGTCAACCTAAAGCAACCAGGCTGCTCTGCTCACTTTTTCACCCCGGTGTGCGCCGCAGCGCGCCGGCAGCAGCACAGCTGCGCTGCGCTCCTTCTGACAGGATCCTCCGTGCAACAAGGACCTCGGTGTTAAAGATATCAGCATGCAACACCACAACCATGCTTGTCCCCTGCAGCAAGGCATCTACATAAAGTCACACTCATTCACTCCTAAACTCGCGTGCACGTCTCTCATCACAGTCTAGAAAAAACCGAGCGAAGAAAGAAAGAAGAAGAAAGCAGACAAGAGCGGTAACGCGTGCAGATCATACCTGTAACTCCACGCTGTAGCCCTGATGGAAATGCGTCGGGAACACCGCCAGCTGATGTTGCACTTGGAGGGAAACTGTATAATCCATGAACCAGAAGAAGATGCTGAAGAGCGGGAGTGAGCAGGAGACGCGTCTGCTGCTGGCAGCGGTACTACACTGTAGTACAATCTAAGCGTGCTCTCCGCCCCGCTGCGCTCCCATTGGCCGCGCGCCGCTCATCAGCCACGTCAGTTGACTTTGAGGCAGCAGGTAGGCAGCGCATCTCCCATTAGCAAATGTCATCAGCTCAGTCGTTTGTGATGTGCAGGTAGGAGCCGGGGCTGGGGATGAAACGGTCTGCAAAGAGCCTTTTATGATTCATGTGGGAGTATCGTTATTACTGACATGAGCAGTGGACATTCTGTGTGGCAAAAGCTTTTCATTTTATCTCATTTTTAGTTTTTATTTCATGTATACATCGTTAACCTGACATTACATTCAGCCTTAGCATTTAAGTGCTGAGATTAGCCTGTTGGACAACTCAGCAGAGTAAGTTTAAAAAGCAGAGGTAAAGGACATTTGTGCCCTGCAAAGTAAAGGGTCCTTAAAGAGTGCAATCCAGAACCTACACAGCATGCTGTAGCTGTCTACTGCCACTAGGGGACAGTGTCAAAAACATGCGTAATGGTCCTTCTGCCAGCTGTCATAATCACAGACTGTATAAAACATAGACATAGCTTCCAGGTCAGAATAATTAAAGACCCTGTCACATGACCATAAGTGGTGTTAAAGTTGGTGCTGTTTTGCGTCTCTTGATTTTGTAACCTGATGGGTTGCCAACTGGAAGACACGAGTATATGATCATTTCGGCTTTTGCAGCTGTTTTAATGATGTGTCTGTGCAGAAACTCAGAGATTCAGAGATTACACAGAGGGAGGTGCTGCAACAGTTTGAAAACTTGAGACTTTGTGGATAGAAATTTGAAAAAAAAGAAAAAGAAAACACTGCAATGTCTTTGCTTCCTGTTTTGACTTCTTCTCTGTCTATGTCAGTGCTGAGGTGGAGGTATTGTCTGAGTGGTGACAACTAGGCAACTAGACAACAAGGCTATGAAACATTTACTTCAACGCCAAACTTTTGAGCTTTATTAAGTGCTTGCAGAAGAAGAAATGGCAATAGTGAATGAAGGCTTAGTCAACCGTAACTAATGCAGAAATACAGAATGAATCACTATTTGATTTGAATTACTACTTTGCTCACAGCCTGTTAGAATTCTGTGAAACTCATTTTTTACTGATGACTGAAAAATAAGCTGGTGTATAATGAAAAAAAAGAAACAAAGGATAATAAAATCAAATCAAATTTTTAAAAAATGTTTTGCAAATTTGCAGCAGAGCCAGGCAATCCTCAGCTGTATTCAGCTATATACAGAGGCCTTCCCAAACCTTGAGATCAGCTGGAGGTTTGGAAAGTTCTCTCGCAAGGCACAAACTCCCCCTCACTTGTTTGATCAGTATCCTCAAGCAGCTTCTCAAAATTCAGAGTCTGTATAACGCTTTCAGTAGTTGGATATATGATGTAGGCTTATAGTTCAATTGCCATCAAATCAAATTGAGTTATTTTACCCGTGACAACATGATCAGACATATTTTGTTACCACTGTTAACTTTTGATTATGTGTAATATTTGATTCTAACTATGATTATGCTGACTAAACACTTCAGTGTGGCTGTGTATCAGTAAATAATGAATGAATAAAAATCCTCTTTGGTAGTCACATTAGGGGAAACTCAAAACTATGTAAACATGTGAAAACAACCTTGTTATGTAGAATAACTTAAATCTCATTCATGTATAAAGCTCAGCTTAATGTTAGAGAATGTTTTAGGGAAAGATAAAAATTCAAATTCAAATTTTATTTGTCACATACACAGTCATACACAGTACGATATGTAGTGAAATGCTTGGACAACTGCTCGTGACCTAAAGAAAAAAAAAAAGGAAAAGGCTATGAATAAGATAGGAAATAAATATGAAAAATTAAAAAGGGTAAATTTAACTAGGAAGGAATAAAATATAAATTAAGGTTAAAAATAAAATAACTGTACAACACAAATTAGAATGAAGGGTAAATTTAACTGGGAAAGAATAAGATAAAATATATAAATTAAAGTTGAAAATAAAATAACTGTACAACACAAATTAGAATGTAACAATGAGATGTTAGGTGCTTCTATGTCTGTCTCATCATTATTATTTGAGATTCACCAAGCACTAATATTTGTTCCCATTTGCACAACATGCTGAAAGTAGACTGGATTAAAAAAAATCTTTGCAAATTCTTTCTTTCTTGTTATGGTATTAAGTCAATAATTCGCTTTGCACTAATTTTCTTTTCTCTTTTTTTGGAAATATGGATTTAACAGATTTGTTTTGCTTTCAAATTATAAAGTTATGGCTTAGATGAGTGATGAAACATTTCTCCAACTGAAAACGATACGTCCAGATGAACAGAATCAACTTTTGGAGATTTACTTTCCTGGATGATTGAGAATGCATCAAGACCTGTTCTGTCATTGAACTGTTTATTACTTAAGTACTTTCGTTTAGTATGAATGGCTGTTGTGAGTCTGTGCAGTCTTACACGCCTCTCTGCAGCTTCTCTCCTCCTGCTACCCCCCCAAAAACCCATCTCCATAGAGACTGTGTCAGCTTCCAAA